GGAAAAGAACATTGATAAATGCCTATAATAAAAATGCCAGATGAAATTTTTCTGATGATTATTATTGTATAAAAATAGTCGATCTTCCTTACCTTTTGTTAAAATCGATTGGATTTGTGGGAGAAAAATATAGAGAAAACGCGTTACATTAATCGTCTTTAACTTAAAAGAAGTTCCATTTTTTCAGTTACTTTTAAAGAGCCTATGATATTAGCGGGAAAATCGTTTCCTTTAATCAGACATCGATAATTCCAATCCAATGCGCGTACTTCTTTGCTAATCAGACATCGACCAATTCAAAATTGGAAAATTCCAAATTCAATGACTAAAAGACAGAAATAATGAGTATAAATATTATTTAATAAATAACACGTAGTAACACGCACATTGTAACGCGTTGAAAAACGTTCAAGACATGATTTCAATCGGGATAAATAATACAGGAACTCTGTGTTTTAGGAACAAGATGGTTGTTTCCCTTTTTATCGTCGCATAGCATTTTTAATGACAATAAATTATCCAAACTATAGTTTACGGTCGCATAAATGGAATATAAAATGCGACACTCAGAACAATAAGACAAATATATAGTACGTATAGAAAAGTTGGAAAGAATGTCGCGAAAACGAGAATGTAAATTACAATGAAAAGGGATGATTTTTTTCTTTGTTTGAGTCATGGGTTCCTAACATCCGTTTCCACTAATGTAACGAATTTTTAAACTACGACGCGACGCCACACACAACGAATGGGTCTAACCAGCATTATTTAGATATTAGATTTTCTTCTCCGACGATGCTTGTAAATTAACTTGGCAGATTATTTATAACATTATGCGTGAACACTGAACATTCATTGTATTCTTGACAATGTCTCTAAATAAAGAAACTGCATCGAATCTCAGTTTCCAACTTATTATGTGGAGAAGAAAGAATACATATCCACCCCTTTCGTTATTGGTTCTAAGTGTTATACACAATCCACCGTACTGGCGTTTTTTATTCACATAAGTTGGATTGTAATAGACGAACCATCTGGTCCTGTTGCTAACCTGGTTACAAGGCACATGTCTCGATTGTACCTGAAATTAAACAAGACTTTGATTTAGGCGGAGAATTTAATTTTTAGAATTTTAATGCAGATTAATACTTTTTTATTGTAATTTAAAATAGAAGGGCATTTAATTTTGCGATATTTTGTAATAATTTCTGCGCAGAAATCTTATATTTGTATTGCTGACACACAACGCAGAAGAACGAGCTATATGTTTGAAATACTTTTGTCTACTTTCATTATAAATTTAGAAAAATTTCAATAACTCCCAGGTATATTAACCCTTTATCACTTTTCGGTTCCTAAAGTAACCAGATACGCCAGACGCTATAGCTATGAAACCACTGAATATTTTTACATTCTTGTTTGGAAACAAATGTAGGGAAATGAACTAGCTTTCATTTGATACTTTACAGGCTACAATCGGCTGGCTGAATGAAAAGTTTTTTCTGTTCATGTACTGCTGTAAAAAAAATGCGAAATTATAGCAGAATTCCACATTTTCCCTCCGGTTATCTTGTGGGATTGTTCATTCTTTTCAATTGTCAAATTAGGACCCGTGGGACCAAAACACATCAATTTAACTTTCTGCATCATTAGTTTTATGAAATTTAATTTTTTCAGGCTGTTATAACGATTTGACACTTTTGACTCTTTTTCGATTTTCTCGACTAATACGCAATTTTTCAAAAATCTAAGTATGAGGTCTTTCTCTATTTATCGTGGCACAAAACATATATCAAAATGATTCAAAAACAAAAAATTGTGCATCAAAGGGTTAAATAATTTTTTTCAATGTCGAATATATGCCATATATATGTTATGTTCCACAAAAAAAATGCTAGTATTTTTCGGCACTGTGAAACGTTGTGTATCCGTGTGTTTTGTCACAGGATCAAGGTGAACAGTTGTATACAAATACCACATATTGTTTTGGCACATTGTTTTCTGTCGAATTCCAAGAACCCCTTTACAGTTGAATCATTTTTTTCAATAGACAAAATTTGCAAATCCTAAGAGAACTTCTCTCAACTGCTGCGTTTCTCTAATACTAAGCTCGTATTGAGATAAATTCTATTCTTTGCATTCACTTTTGTCACTTTCTCGTATTCAATTGATTCGTGTCTTTTCTTGTGTTCGTTTTATTATCATTCTAACGACTTTCAGGTTTTAATTTGAACCGTTTGTATCTATTTTCTTCTTTCATAGTAAAATGACCAAATCTAAATTCATTGTTCTATTTTACGGAGAAACTTATTGTTTCCTTATGTCTGTTGGTTTTCCAAGTGTTATTGAAAACCAGTGATCTCCTTTCCATAAGCATGTGTGCATGAATATTTCATAATAGAATCAAATTTACAATTTATTTTGCTCTTTAGCATATTAGTTTTTAATTTGAGCAACATGTCCTCATGCGCATTATATTGTCTGGTAGCAACTACTACTACCACTACTACTAGTCTATTTGAATTTCACTTTCTGTCTGACGCATTTATTTGACCGAATAAGGTGATGTCATCACTTTCGACGCAATACAATAATTTTTTGTCTGCGATGCGTAATGCTCGTAATGGCATGAGCCATGATGAAAATCGCAGCGGTGATGTAGGATATTATTGTCATGCACTACCATTATTTCACCATGAAACGTAGCTGAGTCCAACGAGTATCGCTTGTTGCCGTACACGACGGCTTTTTGTTTGATTGTTTGCAGACAATTGTTGCTCTATCTTGTTCGCCTCGTTTCGTTCCCCAACTCGGAAACGAGTGTGTGCTTGTTGTAAACCCTAAATTTACTGTGTGTCTGCAATTGAATGTATCATGCTCAGTCACCTAGGAAAAATAATTCTCACTGCTTTAATTTTGACATTGACCTTGAATATAAATCGTTTTTAATACAAGTTCTATTTGATTTTTATGAATCTACATGTGTAGAGAGCAGATCCCTGTCTGTACATAGATTCAATAAGTGCTGCGACACACTTGAAAGTCCCTTCGTTAACCAACCAACCAAACATTCTATTTAACTTCTACGGTTTGCTTGTTACGAGTATATCAGATGCAGCCGAGAAAATCAGAGCAAAAATCGTGTTCCGGCGGTTGAAAAGTGAATAAACAAAAAGAAAGGAAAGGGAAGGAAAGGAAATGAAACTAAATATCACTGGTAAACAGAGACTATTCCACCTCAAAAATCGCAACTGACTTCAATTAAAAACGGGACTGTAATCTCGTGTAGCTAGCTAGATTGGACTATAAAATTTGTTATCGCCTTAATCGGCATCCTCTCTGAAATGAGAATTTTTTCGCAGCCATTTCCATTCAGGACTTTAAACAGGCTCTGCGATGGTAATATTTGTAAGAAACGCATACATTACTACACACAACCACTTTTTTCAACAGCGATAATATTTTCGTTCATACGAATAGACCAACAAAATACAACCAAAAAAAGGAAATACTAGGCGCAGTAGGATATTTTTACGCCTCATACATATTGTAGGCAAATTTGTGCGTCCAATATGCGATATTTAAAAAAAACGACGCGAACAAAAATAGCATATGTCTTTTGTAGGAAATGCGAAATTGCTTTTAAATTGGTTTATTTCATCACTTCGAAATCAACGAAGGTGAAACGGACTGCATATGAACGAATAAAATTGCTAAGGCCATTTTATTCCTATTAGCTAGCATATGTATATTTTGTTGAAAGTTCCCATTTTCTCGCTAGCAAACTATCCGAAGGATATAATATTATATTTTCAATTTAATTTTTGTTTTTTTTTTTTTTTCAAATAGTGAATTCCTTGCAATTTTTCAAGAAGGCGAAAAATCTGAGCAAAAAAAGTATTGGCGCTAGTTTGCTATCGATAAGTGTTCACAGTAATTAAATTAATTTGAAAATGTTAATGGTTTGTAAAATTTTGCATAACTGTTATGAGTTCACACGAAAAGTTTCAATGAATTCACCAACAGACTTATTATATCTCCTTTTAAAAGATCTCTTACCGTTGATGATAGTTTGATTTCATTTTATGCATATTTGATGATGGTTTGGGTGTTTGAGCTATGGTTTATCATATGTGACTCAAATCACCTTCCCCATGGCAAACCAGAAACATAAACAAAAAAGTCATAAACGACGCCGCACACCATTAAAATGCGTTCAAACACATTCCCTCGTCTACGTTCAGGTAAAGTCATCCCAACTCATATAATAGAACAAAAGAGTAAACATTTCTCTATTTCCAATGTCATTTGTGAACTACAACCTTCTTTCTCGACTCGATGGATGCATCAATGAAAAGAAATTCAATATATTCACTTCATTGCGTGTTTATTACAATATGTATTTTCGGGAAAACTTTTTGTTTTATTTGAGCCCAGAGAAAAATATCCTTCTTCGAAAGAAAAATGTTTTAAGACACGTCAATCAATATTGCTATATTTTTTTATTGAATGTAATTGCTCACTTCTCGGTAAGTACAGTCCGTGTTTATTACATGTACCATATATTTTCACTGAGATTTTAAATGGTAATTGTAACTCACACGCAGTGAGTGTTTATGTGTTATTTAAACCTAGTTTTGGAAGTAGGCACAAAATTCTTCACGACTGAATCGATTGAATAGCAAAACAAGGTTAATACAAACTTTGTGCTTTTTAGGATTTCACTTTACCTTTAGTTTGTTTACTGTTGTTAATACATACATAACAATATTTTTCGAATTATTTCAATTGGTAAAATGGGTGAATAAAATTTAGTACATATTCTTTACCTTTTATCACTTTGGTTTAAAGCTTAGATGGAACAATTTGTGCGTATAACATTTATGTTTCATATTTCAGAATTGATTGGTCTGTATGTAGGGTGTAGGCTACGTGAATTCATGTTTTATTTTTCGTTTCGTTAATTGAGAAAAATGCGTGAGAACAAAAAAAAGAAACTTAGGCCCCGGCGTGATTCGAACACACGATCTCCTGTTTACTAGACAGGCGCTTTAACCAACTAAGCCACGGCGCCGGTTATATCTTCATCGCTCCAGTAAACACGTATGCTTTTGGCAAACCTTATAAACTCCACATTTTCGATGTCACAACACATGTACACATTGTACACGCAAAAATCAAAGTATTTCAAACCTTTCAAAAGTAACTTTTCCGTTGCCCATTCGCAAAGCAGCATTTATTGCATCTACTCCAATGAATTATAACATAAATGATTTAGTTATGATATAATCTGTCAACGAATGCATTAATTCCAAAGCATAGTATGCCTAGCATGCACTAATAATATCTCAACATTTTTACGAATCTCACTATCTTGAGCTTCTGTTTACTAGATAGATTCCCTGTTCGACAAGATGTATACTAGACTGGTAATAATCTGTTGCTGTACCCTTATGTTATGAATCCTATGAGCTTCATTTTTCCTGCAAAACTAAAAGATTCTTGGCGGTGTCAATAATAAAAAAAGGAGTAAACAAATGAACAATTTACACCTCCGGAATCGACGTATGTCGGGATATAGTCCCAAAATTAGGACAAGATATTAATATCATTTAATTTGATTTTTCTTTGATGACACAAAATAAATAAGTAGCCATGGGAATTTATATCTACCTTAAATAAAAAGAATTACATTGGTAATCCCGAACTTTTCCGTACCGTTGGCCTGCGTTGTCTGTAGGTACTTTTGGTTATTTTTTGTGAATTTTCTTGAAATAAAGGCAGTGAAAATATAATAATAAAAATAAAGTGAAAAATCGGTCACGTTAACTAAAACTTCGACAATTTTGTATGAGAGGTACCCGTAAACCAATTCCTATTGGCTTCAAACTTTCTGAGGTTTCATTTTTTCGAGAAAAAACAAGATTCTGAAAGTTTCATGTTGATCCCATTTGCAGAAGTTTGATTTTTTGTCCTCAATTTTTGTCGAAATTTTCTTGGAAAAAATTGAGGGCCAAAAACCAAACTTCTGCACATGCGATCAACATGAAACTTTCAGAATCTTATTTTTCCTGCCAAAAATGAAACCTCAGAAAGTTTGAAGGCAATCAGAATCGATTAACGGGTACCTCCCATACAAAATTGTCCAAAAATCGGTAATTTTAGTCAAAATTTCAAAAATTTCCAGAATCTTATTTTACTCGCAGAAAATGAAATCTCAGAAAGTTTGAAGCCAATCGGAGTCGATTTACAGGTACCTCCCATACAAAAGTGTCAATTTTTTGAGGTTTTTCTTAGGGCGAGTACCCCAGGATCAAATCGAAAATGGCTCATCTTCGAACTTAAACTAAGTCTTTCAAATACAACACTTTTGGCGTTTCCAGATTTTGATTATCTCAATTATTTTTTGAGTTATCGTGTTTACAAACAGCTACGACAACGACGACAACGACAACGACAACGACGACAACGACAACGCCAACGACGACGGCACACGAACGGAAAAGTGTCTCCAAAAGTGGTTTTCTACGCGTTTCATGAGTTTTTATGATGATCTAAACCAATTTTGCGAAAAAAGTTTTCGGGACCAATTCCTATACTTTCCCTTGACACGTTGTGTACGGAAAAGTAATACACATAACACAGGCTCCTTCTACTGATTGGAATTCAAGCATCATGAAAATATGAACATTTGCGACATTTGAAGAAAATGTTTAATGTGAAAACTTGTCTATATAAAAACAGATTGAATGGTTAAGGCTTAATTCACTGAAATAAAATGAATATTTAATGAAAACATTTCAACACTGTTTTATTTCACCACAAAATTGATCAAATTAAAAAAATAATAATCATGTAATTATTGAAAACGAGACAAATTTCGCATTTATGTGTTAGTTTATGTTTATTTCCGTTTCTGCATTACGACATCCAATTGAGCTTGCATTTCAGATATTCGTCTATTGGCTCGTTTCTCGTGATCTTTTATGGCCTTATTCATATTATCCTTTATTTTTGCCATCGTTTCCTCATACGCTAATTTGATTCGTTCACTTTCCTGTTCGATGTGTTTCTCCTTATCCTCGGAATACTTTCTGTAGCTGGCCGCAGTTTTTTTGGCCGCCATACACTTTTCGTTGAGACTGCTTACCGTGGTCCTATAACTATGTTCCATATTGTGTATTTGTTTGGTGAGATTCTGTTCACGTTCAGCAAGAGCAGCTATTTGTGCCTTCCATTCACTCATCAATTTGTTCATATTTTCTCGTTCAGCCTGGAATTGCAATTTACACTGATCTAGCTCATTCAGTAGACTGTTGACACGTTTGTTCGCCACTTCAAGATCATTGCGTGTAGTCGAAAGATCATTTTGATGTTGTTTCATCATTTCCATGTGTTCTGCCCCTTTTTGTTCCAGAATATTCCTCACCTCGAATCGCTCTTTCAAAATGCACGTTTTCAGGTTGGAGACATCAGTTTCACGTTCCTTCAGCTGTGTTTGCAGTGTGACTACTTCAGTTGTAAGTTCGTTAACTTGTTGTTCAAATTCCAGAATTTGTCCCTTGAATTCGTTTTCAACCGCCTTAACCTTCAATGCCATTGCACGGGCCATATCTTCACGGATTCTCTTTTCGGCTGACCGATCCAAGCCTACAATACTAGTCACACTACCTGGTCGTGGACTTTCAATAACAATGAGATCCTCCGTTGATACGCATTGATCACGAACCCGACTAGTTTGACTATTCACAATCGCATCTACCAAAATTGATTTGGTCGGCGATTGATTGCGCATAAACTCTTCAAATTGCTTGGCCTTGCTCTTCAACTCATCAAGTAATTGTTCATGTTCCTCTTTTAATGCTAACTTTCCACTAAGATCTGTGATTGTTTGTTCAGCTTTTTTCAGTGACTTCTTCAATTCATGTATATCTTTAAGATATCCAGATACTGTGGTTTGGAGTTGCAATCCTTCAATTTCGTACTAGGATTTGAAAATGAATACGATTAATAAATATTTTCGAACCAAAAATTAATAATAATAGCTGCAATGTTTAGATGTTTACCTTTGCCAATTTTGCTGTTAGATCAACGCATTTGAGACACGAATTTGATATGTCCTTTTGCTCTTTCGATTCAATGTTGGTTATTTCTAGAAAAGAACATACAATTAACCAATGAATTTTTTTGCAAAAAAAATCCAGTTTATCTTACCCGCTTCATATTTTGCGCGCAAATTCTCGATTTGAATTTCATGGTCGGTCTTTTCTCGTTCTAAAATCTTTGACATTTCGGTGTACTTCATTTCGGCCAATTGCAGCGATCGTTCCAAACTTGCTACCATATTTCGTTGTTCAAGCAATTCTTTCTTCAAATCGACCGTTTCGGTTTGTCTGAGCTTTCGCAATGCTTCTTCTTTTTCGTCGGTGATCCGAATGTATAGCTCTTTCAGTCTTGTGCACTCTTCTCGAGACTCTTTGGTTAAAAATTTCTCTTTTTCGCATTCTAGACATGGATTTGATTCCAGTTGGCTAAATTTCTGTTGTAACTCGGCCATTTCTTTACACACTTCTCTGTACTTCTCTTCGGTTCTGTCACGCTCGTCTTCCAATGCCCGAATTGTTTCATTCAAATGATTGCAGTTTGACCGGAAATTCTCATTTTCTTGCTGAAGCTTCTGTATACGGTCGTTTTCGTCTCTTGTGGTTTTCTCTTGGTGCCTGGATTCTGTTTTATTTTTGAAATCTTCTAACTCACGTTCCATGTTTTTCAATCGGATGGCAAGACGTTCAGTATTTTCTTTGCTGGTGTTTAATTCGATTAACGCAAGATTTTCATCTTGCTTGAGTCGATCGATTTCCTTATTTTTGGCTGCGAGCTCTTCTTTTAGTGCTAGAATTTCTTGGCGCTTCGCTTTTTGATCGGCAACACATCGATTGAATTCTTGTTTCAGTCGCGTTATACGATCCTCAACTTGAAACGGCGTACTGCTCACAGCTAGCCTTGGATGGCTGACTGCTTTTCGAATCATTGGCGTTTCCCCAATGCCATTGGTGGGTAGATTATGGTCGCTGTTCGATATGGTTTCGATATTATTAATGGCTGTTTCGGTGAGCTGTTCAAGTTCGGTGGTCGTTGATTCTAGTCTAAAATAGAAGAGATGAAACTTGTAAATTCAAAATTTTGCTTTTGAGAAGATAAAACCTCACCTCAAATTTAACTCATTGATGGTTTGTTGCATTTCATCTGTTTGTTGCTGCAAAGCGGTAACCGAACGCATCAGTCGAACATTTTCTTGTGCCAAATCTCCACTAGTTCCATTCTTGCGAATCAGATCTTGGACTTGGCGCTGTGCATCGTCCAGGCGATGCGTCAACTGATTTATGGTATCTGCTTTGTCAAGTAAGACTGCTTCACGTGATTTCTGTAGCTCATTATTTTGTACCATCAATCGTTTCAGCTCATTATCTCGATCTTCAAGTTTTGTGCGCATTGTATTTATTTGTTGTTGCATCATGTCAGTTTGAGCCGCATGTCGATCGTTAATTTGTTTGACCATACTGTCTGCATGTTTCTCCGACGAATAACTAGCATTTCTCTCAACCATATGGTATTTATGTTGGACATCGCTCAGCAATGATTTTGTGTGCTCCAATTCGGCCAAGACTTCGAGGTTTTTATCGTTGAGCGATTTAATTTTTCCATTCAAATCAGATATTATTTCATCACGTTCGGATAGCTTTTGTTTTGATTCAACGAATAATTCGTGTGTCTGTTGGCGACTCATGTGGGCACGCTCTTTTTCCGCTTCAGCAATGGCAAGACGTTTGACCAGCTCGTCGTTTTTATTTTGTGAATTCTTAATTTCACTGGCGGCAATTCGCAACTCTTCATTCTTCGACGACAACATATTTTTCAGCTGAAGAATCTCGGTCATCCGCTCATTGTCATGACTGTTAAGGTGTGCTATGCGATTGGTCTCAATACCGTTGAATATTGGATTTGCTAACGCTGCGGCATTTCTACGATTCGCCGATGAATTGGAAGCATTATAAGATACACTAACGTCGTCATCGTCCTCGAAATCGTCCAAATCGTCAAACGCATTTTGTAATTCGCTTTCCAACTGCAATTGAAACAAAAACCAAATTTTTTCAATTGGAAAACCAAATTATATTTCCTGCATTGTACCTCTTCATTGCGTCTCTTTCGATCTTCGATGGCATCTTCTTCTTCAGCTCGTTGTTGGTCGTTGTTCAACTTTATGCTTTCGGTTCCCTGAAATAAACTCAGTCCGGGAACATCCATTTTCACTTATTTTATGAACAACTTAGCACCAAATTAGTTCATATTCTTTTTTGATATATAGCAAACTTGATCTAACACAAAAATAAGTCAATTATTCGAGAAAAAAAAATAAACGGAATTGTTGCACGAAAACAAGTATTCTGTACACTAAAACTTGCATGCGTTGGAATCTTTTTGTAAACAACTTGTGGCGTTAGTTTGAATGTAATTGCCAATCTGTCATCAAATACGCGCGTCAATATGCTGAAACCAGCCGCGTGTGTCGCTGCGCAAAGTTAGGTGAATGCGTTTGTAATTGCATTTATTGACTGAAGACATTAAACTATTTTTTTTTTCAAAATTGTCTTCAATAGAGAATAAATAAGAATATTATAAATGATCATGTTTATTATATGCCATAAATGGAATATAATTCAAACGACATTAGTCAACAGTCAGTCCTCATTATAGCACTGCAGCGCCCTCTTTTGAACATGCTAAAAAGTAGATTTGTAAACAACACATAGAAATACAAAGAAGGCTGTGCAATGTGCATGAAGAAAAGACGCTTTGTTTTGAATGTTACACTTGATTTATTTTATTTTTTCCACTTTTTTTCTCCTTTTCATTTGATTTTCAATTTTTTGTTTGATATTCAATCATATGAAATTTTAAAAATGATGTCCCTTGTGTTTGGGGTTTGTTGTGATTGGCTCGTATCATTTTTCTTTTTTTCTGTTTTTTATCAATATTCCATGTTTGTAATTTTTCAACGCATGTTTGAGTATGGATACAAGGTGCCTGCGGTATGTTATACGGACTGTCCACTTATACTCATATACGCATTCAAATTGGGACACTTTTCCAGTTTGGTTGAATCGATCTGAAAGTCTTTCGGTACTCTTCGCCAGCTTTGTGTATCGAAGTAGTAAAATGTACCTCGTTCCGTTTGACCGTGTTTCTCGTAATGCGATATGAGACCTGGTACGCGTGTTATCCACACCTTTTCTTCCGTATGATATCGCCAATCTCGACTGTGCCTGCAATGAGACGATTTTTAGAAATTAGAATCAGACATTCGGTTTGGGTAGTCTTGAAATACATATGTATATATAACGGGTGTCACTAAAACCTTGGAAAAAATCAGAGCCTCAATGAAAATAAAAAATAACCTGACCTCGAGCAAAAATTGTGATGGAGCGACTTTTAAGCTGTGGATAAAGGTGTCAAACGGACAAAATTTTGTCCGTCTGTCCGTTCGGAACTTATCAGTCTGAAAATAGTATTCGGACATTCGGACATGATATTCTTTTCGGACCATCGGACATTTTTCGGACGGACACGGACAGACAATTTTTTTGTCCGAATATCGGAATCATCAAAAATTTTCCGAGAATAACCCTCTAGTGCACACAACCAACCTTAAACGGGCATCATTTGAACGTCTGTATAACATAATCCGTTAAGAGACCTTAAAAGCCTCTGGATGGTCAAAAAATCATATTTTCTCAATTTCCCCTGCATGAATAGTATAAAATTATGATAGGTTTTAGCTCAGAAGTTCTCCAAATTGTAGTCTAAGAGGTTCCAGGTGGAAAATGAATCTTACATTCATTTTTTTTCACCGATCAAAATTTCAAAAAGATTTACAAAAATGCTTCAAAAATAGCAAATCGACTCTCAGCGTTCAGTTCTTCGGGAATAAAAATATCATTCATTTAGACTTCACGAAGGTTTCTTCTGAATGTTAAGGGACCAAAACCAAACTAAATTGTTTAGTCAGTTGAATTCAAATATGTTGAGAAATAACTGGACGCGGAGACAAAAACTAAAGACTTTTGTGACACCTGTTATTGATCACTTACAGTTCAGCTGCGGCAGCCAATTGCATAAAATCGCCCACATTTGTATAGAACAAGAAAAAGAGTAATTCGTCTTTGTATTTCTTCAGTGACAATGTTGATAGTTTATCTCTAATCGACGTGTTAACCAAGTATTCCGGTATTACGGGAAAGTCTATATCTTGTGGTCTGAAAAGAAAAAGGATAAGTAAACAAAACATTATTAACAACACAGAATTTCACTTGCGTACACGTATGTATGTAATTACAAGTTTAACACTTACCGCCCGGGTTGATCTGAGAATGGACCACCAAAACTTGGGTAGAGATTTTCTTGAGAGTTCAAGTTCAATCCCAAGCCAGTCAGATCCTGTCCCATAGCTAATGTCACCAAATTGGGATTCGATTCCGCCGCTCGGATAAATGTTAGCAAACCAACCATGCCAAATTGATTGTTTACCATACTTGCTGGGATGTTTGTGACCATTCCTAGCAAAAATTAGCAAATCAATGGCTAGTAAAGCAAGTGTTTAAAGGTTATCATACATTCTGACACCAAAAATTCATGATGGTGTAAAATTTTGACTGCATTTTTATCGATACTAACCGTCAGGTGATGTTTGAATGCCACGTTTAAATGCCTTGTCTTGAGCTGAGGACAAATCTCCTTGCAGATCACTGGACAAGTGATGATGCGATTTGTTATCCATATCTCGTGTTGAGCCATTCGCACAATCAAGACCATCTCCACTGTTGCCAACATTCGATCCACCGCCAATGTTATGGTTCAAATTTAGTTGTTGTGACGAAGAAGACGACATTAAATCATTTAGCTGTGTTCCTGGCAGCGCTGGAAAGTCTTCATTGGACATTTGAAATTCTGTTTGTTCGGCAGTTGGTTGCTTCACCATACCCACTAAAAAATTTGGAAAGGTAGCATTAGAAATCAGACCGATGGTTACACTAAATGTTTTGTCAATGTTGTGCAATGTACAACATACCGTATGGCTTACTTCCCGGTGTTTGAATGATGTTCGATTGCGGCATTGAATCGTTCCCTCGGGCATTTGTCAGCGACGGAAATTCAGAGAGATCTAACAGCGGTGGTGTTCCAGTATCATTATTACCAAACACAGAGTGAAAACTCAGTCCAGCGTTGCTGTTTTGGCCAACATAACCTCTTGACGGCATAAATGATCCCATTGATGTCTGCAGAAAGATGAAAATGGAAATGGGATTTGAGATGAATAAACAATGTCAAATGATAATCAAAAATGACAACTTACCATTTGTCCAAGGTTTTGCATTTGCCTTCGGTCATTCATTGTTCGAGGACCAAACAGATTTGCACGCGCTTGTTGATTTGTATTGCTGGCACTGTTGCTACCGAGCGTCTGATTGAACACACCACCAAGCTGTACACCACCTCGATTAGGCGACAGTTGTGAAGGTGGTCCGAAACCTGCATTATTCTGTTGAAACATCCCGGACGTTGGAGTTACATGCCCTGAATTTACTGCGCCACCAAAAGCCGCACCGATGCTGCCTCCTCGATTACTTAATGACGAATTTGCTATACTTCGAGGCGGTTGTTGAAAGTTCAGGTTTGCCATTGATACAAAACACGTACATCAATCGAACGCGATTGATTAAATTTATACACACACAAACTTTGCAAAGACTTTTGGTTTTCGTTGCGTTGCCACTAAAATCAACTTTTCGAACTATCAATTATGTGCAACTTCCCTTAAAATTTCTTTAATGAGCGACGAATTTAATATGTAATTTATCTGGGCTTATTGTAGCGGTTTTCAAACGGATCGATGGAAGTTAAGTCGATCCACGCTATTGAAACAGTAATCTTCTGGAATAGACGAACTCTGTAAAAAATAAATGGGAATAAATGCTAAATTATTCAATTATTCGTTGTCACTGTACATTTTCATTAAAATTTCCAGAAAAATCGCAAATTTTGGCAGTTTGTGCAATGAAATCACCCGCGATTACACTCGGATACTATTTTTTGAAAAGTGCGTATAATTTTTTTTTTCGTATTTTTTGGATGCGTCTCTTTCCTTCTTAAGCCAATGTCTACAGCCTGACAATTGTAGGACTCATTGTTTATCCGCGATTCACTTTTCATGTGTCTGTTTTCGTTTTTCAAATACTTCAAACATATTACTGAATGTTAGGTGCTAAATTCGTATATGTATTATTGTTTGCACCCAAAAATTTGCCATTTGTTTTTTTCTTTGGCAAAACCAAATTTCAGGTGAAACAACGCAATTCTGTCTCGGAACCACACGGACCTAAACATTTTCTTATGATGCACAATAGCACGATGACAATAGAAAATCACTTAGAATAGCAAACTATTCATAAACCTTATTCCAATTAAAAATATTGGGAATTGAGCCAGAATGACAATAATATAGATGAAAATAAGCTATTAGTTTCCCCGTTTAATTGGTTTTCTTTTGCTGGCCTGCAAGGCATACACTCATAGTCACACATTCACAACAAACCAATTTTTTAACAAATTCAACGCACACAAACGATATATTTTAAAATTTTATTAATTCAAAATGCTAAATGGATAAATATTTGCTCACCAAAACTATTCTCAACTTGTTGGAATTGAATTTTACTTGTGAATTATTTTTCTGACAAAAGAAATCTTTTTGCTTTGCTGAAAACTCTTTCGCTACAAGCACTTTGCGCCATCTACATAAAAAACAACACCGATTCCTATAGCCATATTTCTTTCAGTCTCTCTTCATCTGTAGTTGATGTTGGTGTGTATATGGAAATGTTTTCGAACATGTATACGAACGAACGCCATCGTATTATGGATAATTTCGTTTGTATGTGCGACACTTGTGCAATGGAAATTCGGTTGGCCAGATGTGTCATATTTGTTTGGTTATTAAATTTAAATTGTTTTTTTCTGCATTGTTCCATCGTAACAACATCTGGTTTTGCTAAATTGTTTGAAAAATATTCGATTCCGAAGTCCAATAGTAATTCATAAAATAACTCGTTCTTTATTCTTAAGGAAAAAAAATCGAATTCTCAAATATATTATCTTCAATATTAATCATTCAATGCTCTCAGAAATATTTCTCAATTTCAAAACTTGCTTTAAACAAAATTTCAATTATCTAAAAATTAATTTAAAACATTGTTTTTGATTTAAAACCAAACTATGGATGTATATGGACTTGAAATTGGCTCGATTTCGAAAATTACAACCCTCCCTTGTTGGTAGTATTGATCAGCTGCAGATGCCAGATGTTCGAATTCGATATCGAATTATTTTCGACGATAGTCATATGACTTATCAAAGTATTTTCTCATTGATATTTTCCATTTCGATTCAAACAAGAGCAAAGACTTGAGAAGTCAGTCTGCTGTGCATTACTAGTGAAACTTCTCTCGACATTTTTTCCATTTATCCTTTCTTTTCGTAAGTGTTTTGGAATTAAAATCGAAGTTTTCAATTTTCTTTAGATTATTTTAGGTTCAAGTTCTACCAAAAACTCTTATTAACATATTTTCATTCTTTTTTCCGCGATGACATAGGTTTTTCCCGAATAAAAAAACACTCCAACAAAATGGCACTCAGCGACGCTGACGTTCAAAAACAAGTAAGTAATTTAAATATAAGGCGTAAATTACTCTGATTTCTTTTATCCTAAACTAAAAAATGTCAAATTCGTACGATAATCCGCGAAGGAACCCATTTTCTGCGATTATATATGCTAGACATATGATGTGAGCGAGGTCACAAGATTCCCTTATTTTTCAACTACTATGACTTTCGATATGTCATGTGAATTCGCTACAATGTTTATTTTACATATTTTCTCTGAAATAATTCTTTTTTTTAATGAATTATCATGCAATTTGTAAATTGATCGATTTTTTTTCAACGAATCCATCACAAATCGTCAAATAAAGGTGTACGTGTGTTGTCACATGATCTACACTTGATTAAACATGACATATGATTCCTTTACCAATATCGAGTGTACTCGTCATTTTTACTATTGCATTCCCAATTCGTGTATAATGTGAAACATTTAAAGTATGAATGGATCATTTTAGATCAAGCATATGATGGCTTTTATCGAGCAAGAGGCCAACGAAAAAGCCGAAGAAATCGATGCCAAAGCTGAGGAAGAATTCAACATCGAAAAAGGACGTTTGGTTCAACAGCAACGCCTTAAGATCATGGAATATTACGAGAAGAAAGAAAAACAAGTGGAATTACAGAAGAAAATTCAATCATCGAATATGTTGAATCAAGCTCGTCTCAAGGTTCGTTATTTTTGGATCACAAATGTGGACATGAATTTGCAAAATGTCTCTCCTATTTTAACTATCTTTTCCGTTGTATTTGTGTATAGGTGTTGAAGGTTCGAGAAGACCATGTTCGTAGTGTATTGGATGAAGCGCGTCGTCGCTTAGGCGAAGTAACCAAGGATCCAGCCAAGTACCAAGAAGTCTTGCAAAAATTGATCGTTCAAGGTTTATTCCAAATTATGGAACCCAAGGCAACGATCAAAAGTCGTCAAGTCGACCAGGTATTAATTGAAAAACTCTTGCCGACTGCATTGCAACAATACAAAGAAAAAATTGGCAAAGAGGTTGCTATTACACTGGACAAGGAGAGCTTCCTACCAGCTGACACTTGTGGTGGCGTTGAATTGCACGCCTTGAACGGTCGTATTCGGGTAATGACTTGCATATTTCACTCATTTTTTGAACACCCTTTATCTAATTAATAATATATTGATGTTAATTGGTGTTATAGGTACCAAACACCCTAGAGGCTCGTTTGGAATTGATTTCACAGCAGTTGGTTCCAGAAATTCGTACTGCATTATTTGGACGCAACGTGAATCGTAAATTCACCGACTAAATACACTGTTATTCGCTGTTCAGTACATTCTTTTTGTTCGTTTGTTAAATTGTTTATTTGCGCATTATTTTGGAAACACACAAAATCTGAGTTTTAAAATGTAAACAAAAAAAACTTGAATAGAAATTATCCCACACAAGCTATTATACACTTTATAAAATAGATCTAATTAATCGAAAATATCACATTCCTCCGATGTAATAAACAAGAAGAAAACAATGCGCCAGCGCTTCACAAAATTCATTGGTACCAAACAAGTGAATTTTCGATAAAAAAAATCAATTCAATACTACCAAATTCCAGTTTAATCCCAGCGATCCGATTAAATCCAATCCAAAGTAAATACTGTTCAATTGAATTATCCACCTTAATTACCATTTTGTTCTGGGAATGTTAGGAAAGAAACACTTGAAAATAACAGTTAGTAAGAGAATTCAACTTTAAACTTGCGGTTTACTATGCTGCACATCAGTAAGATAAATAATTATTATGCATATAAAAATATTTGAAAATGAAAGATAAATAGAATTATATAATGAATGAATATGCCATACATGGCAATTACTACACTAATATTTACTTTAGTGATTCTACTAACCACTTCATTTCAATCCCTTGACAGATTTAGATAACGCATTAGTTTCAGTTTGGTTTCTTGTGTTATAATTTTTCCTTTTTCAAAATTAAAATGTGGTATCTTAGAGTTTTGAATTTCATCAATGGCCATGATCATTGTACGTGTAGTTTCGACAAAAACAACCGCAAAAATACTGAGACATCGGATGAATCTTCTTTGGCGCTATCATTAATTCAACGAGATTCTAGTTGAAACTAATTGAACTTTCTTTCATTGCCTGTCAGCATCATTTTCTGCTTTCTTTACACCAAATTATAAGCACATAGTATTCACGCGTTTATGGATAAAAATCCATAGATAACAATCTGAACGATCCAAGATATCTTCGGCGTGTGCTCTAAAATTTGCTGCATTGATGAGCGTAATTACCCTTTGGCAATGAATTTGAATTTAATTGAAGTAATGTTGTATTGGCATGCAAAAAAATGAAAAAAAAGTGTTATTTTTTATTCTTTGTAACAACAAATGTTAGCTGTGTCTCCTTTTGGTTCATCGATAGAACAGCATACATCCCCTGACTGAATTGATTGATGTGGAAAAATATTTTTGAAAAATGCTTATATATCTCGATGAATGGATGGTATGGCAAAGAAGTTATTAATTTACAAACAACAAATGTTGCTGTCGACAAAAACACTACAATCACTTTTTGTATTGTTTTTCTTAAAACCAGTTTTTAATTGTGTTTTTGTAAATATTTCTCATGTAAAATTTAATGGCCAAATATTTTATCTTCGATGTGCAAAAAATACCAGTTTTCCCCATTTCGGTCGTCCTCATGCATAATTGTAAATTCAAATGAGAAACAATATAAACGTTGATCATGTTAAATAAATTTCGGATGAAAATAGCAATTCGAAATGAAAGTCTTTCTTTTAACTGCTTTTCCTATTTCAAATTGAATTATGGTTTTTCTAGTGCATATTGATTTCATTTTTAAGTCAGTGACCACAATTTTATGAAGGTCTGAGTCACGCAATGCAAACATATGACAAATTTTGAACAAAAACAAACAGCAGCAAAGCAGATATCACCAAAATTTATGATTTATTCTGAAGAAAAACTATAACCGCTAAATGTAAATATGTGTGAATTTATTAGAAAATCCAAATAAAAATCTTTAAGAAACATCATATCATTCATCATTCTATATGTACTTTTTTCCAATGGTAACCAGCTGTTGAACAGAAGTTCTATCAGTCACGGCATATGCATTGTTTCTAATATCCTTACTGATGGCACTTGTGTCAGATACATGAGCTGTAATACGTTCGGTCCGTTTGATTTTTGCGGAAGCATGAAACTCTTTACATCCGGTAGTTTGAAGTATAGAATCAACATTTCTTGTTGAGACACCGCAACCAGGCATAAGTATTAAATTGTAATGCTTTTCTGCGATATATTTCTTGATTTGAGTCAACGCTTCAATTCCCAACTCTGCTGTTTCTGCAAAGCCACTAGACAAAATACGTCGAAATCCACATTCTGCAATTTTATCCACGTTTTGAAATTTCAATGACGGAATCGTCATATCAAAAGCACGATGAAATGTAACCGGTAATCCAGAAGCACTATCAACTACTTGTCGACACTTGTCCACGTCAATGTTTCGATCAGCTGTAAGTGCACCGAAGACAAAACCATCAACTCCATTCTCAATCAATTCAACTATATCTTTTTCAATGATTTCCATATCGATGTAGGTGTGTTGATATGAAATTCTTCCGTGTGATCGAAGCATTGCGAATACTTTTGTGGCTGGAAACTATCCAAATATGAACAATTTATAAAATTATTTTTTTTGCATATTATTTTACACGCTACTAAATGATTACATGAGACTTTACGGCTTTCAATAATCCAGGCGTTGCAGTGAGACCACCCTCGCTCAAAGCGGAACAGAGTTCAATTCGGTGCGCACCTCCTTCAACAGCCGCTTGGACAGATTCAAAAGAATCAACGCAAACTTCCAACATTATTTTATTTTATTTTAACAAAAATGTCTAAATGGTTCGAGCGTAGTAACTATCAAGATTGTAAAACCAAACTATAAATTAAATTGTAAAAAGGATTTTTCCTGTTATTCACACCTAATATTCAATAAAAAAAATAAAAAACAATTTTTTAATTGACTTTACACATTCAATTACAATTCCAATTCAAATGTCTACTATCTTATCAGAACCGGCCATTCGTCGTACAATGTGTAATGTAAAATACACAATTAAGGGACCGTCACCGCTTCTCGTATGGCAAAACGCAACCCAATTTATGTATACAAGCTGAACGTCATTGTGTTGCCATAGATGTGATTGTGTGTGTATGTCAAATGCATAGAACAAATTCAAAGTTGACATACGAAATCGGAACAATATTCAAGACATTAATTCGTTGTGTCAGATTAAATGATTATTGCAAAACTTAATGGAAAAATAGAAATTTATGTCGTATGTGTATATAAGTGAAATCCGTTCTGTCATTTCAATTAAAACCCATAAAAATAAGTTATTCGTAAACGACGAAATCTTCTGTAATATTCGAGAAGAAAACGCACAAAACGTTCTGTTCGCACAAAAACATTAAATCAGTATGTTTTTAGTGGCGATAACTGGTGGAATAGCGACGGGAAAAAGCACCGTGACTAAAATGTAATTTAATTTAACATTCATTTTCTATTTATTCTCTTAATAATTGCTATTTTAGACTAATAGTAGCACTGTTCTTGAAACACTAAGAAAAATAAAGAATCACTGTGTGTATGTTTTTTACTAACCACATTCTATTTTTTCACAGTTTCAAAGATAATGACATTCCTGTGATTGATGCTGATCTAATTGCCAAGCAAGGTAAGTAGCCAGTTACATTGGAACTAGACTTTATTGTTCATTCGATTATATAATCTAATAAATACGATTTTCGTTGCATTCTCTTCTGTATAAAGTGGTTGACATTAACACTCCCGCCTACAAGCGAATCAAAGCTGAATTCGGTGAGTGTATATTTTGGACATTTGCATTGGTGGATGGCAGAACAATAACATAACTTTATTTGTAGGTGAAAAAATACTATTGCCGAATGGAGAAATTAATCGACCTGCACTAGGACAATTGGTGTTCAATGATGTTGAAAAGCGACGCATGCTCAACTTTATCACACATCCTCCGATACATCAAACAATTTACAAACAAATATTTAAGTATTTTTTACTTGGTCACAATTTTGTAGTCCTCGATTTGCCGCTATTGTTCGAAAGCGGACAGTTCTTGCCATACATCCACAAAATCATTACGGTGACATGTGAAGAAGATATTCAATTGTCGCGTCTCATGGATCGCAATGGACTATCGGAAGCGGATGCCAAAAAACGGATTGCTGCTCAGATGCCGTTGGAGAAAAAGTGTGAACAGTCCCATTTCGTAATTGATAATTCCAGCAATTCTAGCGATGCAGAGGAGCAGACATTGAAAATATTGGAGGTTCTTTTGGATAGCAATCATCACTGGCGTATTCGTGGCTACATTTTGGCCACTGCAGCAGTCCTCCTGTCAGGTGTGGCTTGGCTGCTCAACAACAAGTATAAATTTATTTCCGAATGAAAATGGGTTCCAAACAATGAACTCGCTTCGAGCTGAAAGTGAAAGTCAACATTCAATACAATAATAACCTATTATTACCTACAATGTTTTCGAACAGTTTCTTTTTCATAACGACTTTGAATTGTTTGGTGTAAGGAATTTCAAGAATAATCTCAGCCAAAAATCCAATGATGGAATAAAAATTTACTTTGAACTCAATTTAGTGTCTTTATTCAAAATTATTTTTTACATCATCATCATTCAGAGTGCGAAGTTAAGTTGCGCACGCATATTACATCGGGCACGACATGAGTTCAACACATATATCAGCCATCTTGGAACATTTTGCTGTATTTTGAACTGTCAACGGACATTTAACTTTGTCTTGTTTGGTATTTGATGCTTGGCTGCACAAGCGAAGATTTTGTTTTTGTTTATTCATTTATTGATAAAGTGTGTCGTGTGAGAAAAGCGGTATTGTTTATATTTTTTATTCATTTCAAATGCAAGGATTTTTTTAAACACCATTATTTTAAATTGTAACTGACACATGAATAACAGAAATTCGAATAAATCTAAAGATTGTAATGAATGCTAACATTCTCTAAGTGGTTTTTGTCACAGTAAACGAGTTTCCCAGTAGCACTTTGTGTTGTGTGTGAGGAATGATGATGGAATGGTGAAAACGGTGAAAAGAAACCAAACGATAGAAAGGCAAAATCCAATCATACAAAAACAGACCAAACGAAAGAATAATAGTGGTTCAAGAAGAACGGTGCGCTCCAATGCGAATGAAAAGAAAAGGCACAGAGAAACGAAGAGAGGGAAGAGAAAGGAGTAACTTAACTGCAAACAACACTAATATATGTATATTTGATCTGAGACATACATGCATAACATACGTGGAATGTGGACAGGAATGTACTTGAGAAACCACTGATACAGCCGAAGCACACGCGCACTTATGTTTGAAATACCAACTGTTTGATGTGAACACAAAAATTATATATATTATTTCATGATAAAACAGACAGTATATGTTTGCCAGAATAACCGTCAGCATCTTCCAAACGAATTTAATTTAAATGTGATTGCAAGTATGTTAGCGTGTGAACATAGTTTTAAAAGTTTAAAATTTATTGGTAGAAAATTTGAATAGGACAATCCAATTTAAGAAAAATGCATCACAGCCGTCGACGGAAAAAACAACGGCCAAGCTATGGGAAGCGTATAGTTGATGTGTGTCGATCGGTAAATGGGTTCGGATTCACAATATCGGGCCAACAGCCATGCATTTTATCATGTATAGTTCCAAATTCGTCTGCTGATACTGCTGGCCTTCACACTGGGGATTTTCTCATTTCAGTTAATGGTACAAATGTATCGAAACTGCCTCACGAAGTTGTTGTTCAGCTCATAAATGATTCCAATGGAACGATTCGTTTAGCTATTGCCGAAAATTACTTTTCGGATAGCTCAGATGAAGATTTGAATGTGGGGTGGCAAAATGAAAACATAAGAAGCGTCCACGAAGGACGGTCGAGACGACCAAAATATCCACATCATAAGGTCAAAATAGTGAGATCGCAACAACAAACTCGTCGAAAGCCGGAAATTGAGCAAGTACATCTATTGTCGACAGACCAAGCATCTGGAGTAGGTGGATTACCATATCCACATTCAGCGGATCATCCGGATAGTATTTCTGCATACAACATAATACATTCGGCTCATGCCAGCAACAATAGGGACATAAAAAATGTTAGTGCAATGGTTTCTACACATAAGAACGACAGCGAACCCAATTTACTGCCACTTGAATATCGTACGGTGGTTGGTTATTTGGGCACAATTGAAATGCCAAAACAAATCGGATCGAATTCAATGTTTCAAACGGTGCGAAGTTGCATTCGGAAAATGCGAAATGAAAAAAGAACACCTACCGTAGTTTTGATGCAGATTCTACCCAATTGCCTGAAGTTGTATAACTCGGTGAGATTATTTCAAAATGATAAAAAGAAAATAAACCGACACAATTGTCTGCAAATTGTGATACGAAGTTGTAAATAAGCAAATTTTTTGTTAAATTCTTTGTTAAATATTGCTTTTTGTTTCAATAGACCGATGTATTATTGGCAAAATATCCAGTCGCTCGTCTCAGCTATGTGAGCAGCAACAGTAACAGTACCAACAATACAGGCGTACCAAGTTGTGATGGTGATTTGCGCTTCTTTGGATTGGTCACTTCTTCAACGTACAATGATGGCAAAGTGTGTGATTGGGTTGCAAATAGTTCAGGTGGTGGCAGCAGTAGCAAACAACCAGAAGTTATCGTATCAAGTAGCTGCCATGTTTTTGTGATCGATTTGAAACTCATCGACCATGGCGACCATTTTACGGTAAGATTTGTATTTGTTTTATTGTTTTATTAAATTTTATTTTATTAAAAGTAATGAAATATTTTTTTATTATTTACAGCGAGCGGAACAATTCTCTATTGTCTGTACACGAGATCCCGTTACAAATTGTTGCTTAGAGTTTCCAAGCACCTCAGAGTATGTCGTGAATTTGATAAAAATAATGTACGCTTTAAATTTAGACCGACCAACACAGCAGTCTGTAGATGGGCAATGTCGTCGATCAGTGCAAAGAGTTGCCGATTGGAATGCACGTCCCCATCATTTGCGCAATCAAAGTAACAATCCAAATGGTAGACAAAATTCTCCACAGCCAAGTAACCATAGTGAAATTACCACCTCGAGTAATTCAGATTCTGGAATTGGTTTTCACAATGATTTCACGAACATTTCCGATCGCATTGTGGTGGTTGATTTTCCAAATCGCGCCAGTCATAGCCAGCAACGAGCAGCTCCACAATCACTGAATAATCCACAACAATCGATTAGGTTCGGTTCAGAAAGACCATTCCCATTTGGGACGGAATCGGTGCGAAATATTCGATCAACAATCAGCAACAATCATGCAATGACAGATGTGTCAAAACGCATTATATTTCATTCCAAATCCAGATCGTTGGACTATACATTAAATGATGAAAATCAATTGGCTGGCCCGAGCCGAAAATCACTACCAAATGCAGCAGTGCATCTTGTACGAGCTATGCCAGATCGATGCCAACCCGTACCAAAGATGCCATTGCAAGAAAACTGCATTTCAATGCCGAACTCACCAGTTAAACACGAACGATATGAAACGATTTTTGGAGCCACCGATTCGGAGAAAACCATTTCAGATCAAGCAACAGATCAACAGGACATTCTTCAATCAGATGACGTGGAAATCAAAGAATGTCGAAGCGATTCAGCAATATTATTCGCTAGATCATGCGATGACCTCATGATAACTGCCCGTGCCCATCAGTTTCCAAAAACTCGTCAAGTACAGCAGTTGCTTGCATCATTTGATGACGTTTCATTACTAGGCGAAGCTCCTCCTCCTCCATTGCCATATCGATCAAAAGTTAAAAACCCACCAAATGGCGAAGATGACAACGATGACTATGTGTTTTTGGCTCCACAAGCACCGGCACTTATGAAAAGAACCAAAAACAAAAAAGGATCTGCATCTGGTGATAAATTGAATGGTTCTAAGAGTGCCGTGGATGAAGTCCTATCATACAAGCTCCACAAAAGTCCAAAAGTGTTCGGTCCAAAGAGTCACGGAAGCGGCAAGCATTCAAATAAGGCCAAGAAAAGGCTTTCGATTGAACCAAAACCGGAATCGGACAGAAAAATGTGCTCCATTAAGGATCGCGATTTTAGTGTTTGGGGCAGCCTGCAAGACTTAGAAATGTTGAACCGTTTGGATATTGGGAATTCGTCAGACCAACGCATTTCGCGACGTGATTTTTTAGAGCCAGCCTACAGCGAACCCAATCTATTGGTGAGTTGAACAATCAAAATTAGTTCCAAAATGTTTACAAGAAACAATTTAATCAACGAATGAAATACGTCATATGTCAGGATATGAATTACGAAATAATTATTGTACTCAAGCATTTCAATGGATTTTTTTCACTGTGATTCATATCGTTATGCTTATACTGCATTCATAACTTCTGACGTAATGATAGTATATTATCACTTATTTTGGTACAAAAAAAAACAAATGGGTAAACAATTCCTACAATCATTGGTGTTACTTATGAGAATGCATACTGTACAGTGTTCGGCTTGTAAAGCATAGTACGATAAATTCATTCAGTGGAATAGGGCGTGATTCGACTTCTCTCCTCAAATTTTGTCCATATACGGATGAAAAGCTATGGGAAATCACATTTCACACGTCAGCGACTTGAATATTATTATTAATAGGATAGAAATATGTGAGATTACAATTTGGACCAACAGTAAAAGCAATTTGCGTCAAAAAAATGAAATCGACGCGATAGACCGCTGTTTAACCTTTCTCGTCAACAGTATTAAACGTATTTATTTTGATGACTGTAATAAAATTGATGACTCAATAGAATATACAATTCCGCATATCGAGCGCACGCGATAAAGTTTTAAATAGCATTTTTGCCACATTGAAAAAAAAATGGGACTGAAACACCAAAGAGGACCGACTGCGTCTCAGTTATCAAGCCTTGTTTATAAAATTAACACAGAACTTTGGAGTGTTTGTTGCTTTGTGTAGGGGCTAATTCAAAAAAGGGCGTTTTTCTTATTGTTATTGCCGAACGATTGGGAATCTGACCCAATTGATGACTAGTGAATTTGACTTAAAATGAATTTATACTCCAAATCCATGATGAATTATGTACGTGGATTACTTGCAATTGAAGAAAATGAAAAAAATGTAAGTCTTTTCGTATTTTGAATTATCTCCTATTAGATGTTTGAACAATATAAACGTTTTGAACAGTGGTCTTTCTTTGTTTCTCCATCAATGGCCTAATTGGAGCTCAAACGAAAATACAATAGTTGATGGTTGCTGTTGTAAATAATTTTTTAATTGTTTAGTTTCAAGGCTATTTTTGACCAGTAAATAACGAATTTCAAAGGCGCCAGTGGTATAAAACCTATAGCTTCGAACATCTGTACCATCCAATTAAAAGTCATGTTCATTTTTCAATAAACTCGATTTACAATTTGCATTCAATTTATGTGCATAATTGCTAACGAATCATAATCTTTTTCAACAACTATTTGACTTTGGAACGCTCTATCGATGCCACAAAACAGATGGTAAAGAAAATTTCAATATTTCAATAAATGCAATGCACGTTTTTACGAGATAAGATAATTGCACATTGGCCACAAAGAGTAACTCAATTTATTTTTCTTTTCAATTTTCAATTTTCGATAAGCGCATTTATATTTGGAATTCAATAGCCATACAAAAAGTCAGTAAGGATTTGATCTTTAGTTCCAATCATCAACAAACATTTGAATGGCACTCGCCATGCAGACACATGTCTTATTTTGAACATATGCCCACCATACATATTTTACAATTAATTGTAACGAACTTTTTGTCATTTTCTTCATCTTTCTTCCACACTGGAATTTGTTTCAATTCATTGTTCTTCCCAGTTTCTTTTATGGTATTCCGATTGCAACGGACATTTTCATACAATACCAATGTTGACGTGAGCTCGGTTTCAGTGCATTAATCCACCTGCATATGCAGCGAGACTACACTGCAGTTCGATACACTTGACCGCACACACTGTGCGTTGCACCAGCACGTTATTTAAATTACACTTTGTTCGTAAAACATCGGTTGTCGGCTTTTTCACCTTTTTTCTTTCAATTTTTTCCTGCGTTTTTTTTTCTTTCAAAATTTCCCTTTGAAAACAGTTGTAGTATTTGTGTGTCATCTTTTAAGCATCAGTATCGTCAATATGGCGATCAGTGCCGATTTAATCGTTCACCAGTGCACATCAATCGTGACTAAAAACTCAAACTTTTCCAACTTATTCATATATTACATATACGATTTCATTGCGGCTTGTTGAAATCAGAAATGTGGTGTGCCGACAAAAGAAACAGTAAACATATTTGAAAACATACAAAGTTGGTTTTAACTTGCGTTAGAAAATTAAAAAAGTAAAAATAAAACAAAAACAAGTTGATATTTATGTCAACCTATTAGAGTTGACACTGGGAAGTATCACTATGAATCATCATTTTGCGGAAAGTGATCATATCATTCAAAACAACTCATTGACGGCGTGCGAACGAACCCAATGACAAATACGTATACGTATGCATTAGCAGCTGCGATAAAGTTGGCACAGTACTTTCAGTCGATAAATCGATATTCCTGAAGTTGATACGATATTTTTTTGGATCGAGAAAAAATTGATATTGTTTTGGAAATGGTCGCACGTACAAACGATATTGAATTAGTGGTATTTTAATTATAAGTTTAAGTTTTTTGCTAATTTTCTAATCAACCCTGAGAAGAACAAATGAAAATGACGTCATTACAAAAATGTGCAACTGTTAGTGAATTTGGCCATAGGAAACTTGGACTGCAATATCAAATGGATGGAACTTTAGATCCACGACCAAGAAGAGGTCCAGATGTGAAAATAATAATTCAATCATTGAAAATGGAACCAGTTTCGAATCAAATTACAAGCGGTGCGCGTGTGATTGCTTGTAATCCCGCTAAAATGTTCAAATCTGTGATTCAACACGCTAATGACTCCGGTTCGATGGATACAAGTCTCGAGTATAAACCGTTATCGACTGCCGAGAAGAGGAATGATTTGGTATCAAACCACAAAAAAATTCCATATGTCGATGAATTACGTGAAATCTTGAAAGAAAATAAGAATCACTTGAATAAATTTAGCGGCAGCGGAACACCGTCTAAACTACCTTTCGCTAATAGGAAAAATTTACAATGGACATCTGTAGACTTGAAAACTAAACCAAAGAGCAATCCGAAAATCGTGCCAAAAATATGTGAAAAATTTATCGATACAATAAAATTGAGTAAGAAAATGCCAGCCAGTTCGACACCATACAGACAAAAACAAGACAACGAAACCATAAAAAATAATTATAAAGGTGAAACGAATTTGATGACGCCCTCAGCAGATGTTCGATTTATTGATTGTGACATCGAAACAACCGATGATGAATTTAATAGAACGTTGGTCAAGTGCTATTCGATGACGAGAGCGTCCTGTCGACGGATGTCTTCATTTAGGAAATCGTTTCGTAAACCAGATAGCAAATCAGATAATTTGATTTCAACAAGCCCAAAGTTCGAACGTCGATCTTTATTCACATCATCATTCAATGGGACTGAAAATCGTTCTTCGATTGTCTCTACCGATGAAACATCACCATTATGCCGTCAACGAAATATAAAAGTGAAAAAATCCAAGATAATCGATTTCTTTCGATCATCCAAAATAAATGTAGAGAATTCCGAATCAAAGCATCAGACTAATCTCACACAAACATGCAGCAATTTATCGCAGATGTTGGCAAAATCAGACCATTTAGATGAATTGGGTTGTGTGCCGCTACTAACAAAGGACAATATTGATTATTACGCTAGAAATGAAGAAGAACTGGATGATTGTAATGAAACAGTTGATGTGGGCAACAAATTTGAATTTTCCTTCATTTGTGAGCCATCTACATCGGATATTGGTGAAGAGGATGAATTTGAATTCTTGCCGAATAGAGAAATTGAGGCAAAATCATCGGTGGTTTCATTTTGGAATTTACCATCAATTGTTACTTGTGGAACACATCACTTGAAAAAAGAGGAAGAAACGAACTGCAATATAAATTCATCACCATTCCGACGCTCAGTCAGTGATCCCGCATTGATAAGATTGGCTACAGTTTACAATAAGAGTACCTTCGAACTAAATTGTGAAAGTGATTTCAATGATCCGTTAGACTTCTATAATTGTGCGACAGATAATATTGTAAGTGATTTAATAGCTTCTTTTTGAACATCAATTGAATCCATTTCATGTAGACTGAAAAAGAAAGATTACTCCCTCAACACATTGGGCGCCGATTGTCTGTTTCCTTTCCCATGTATTGTTAGAAACATAAACGCATACAGAACGCCAGATTAGAAATAATAAGTAGTCCATAGGAAATTTACTAAAATGTTCAACAGAGATTATAGCGTGAAATTCGATCGAAAGTGTTGTTGGATTCATATATGTATACATATGTTTTACGATTGTATTATCTCATACATTTGCTACGTCGGATAGATGTACATATGTCATCACAGCTATTGGTTCTTGAGTCATATAAACGCAAAAATACCGAACCAAAAAAAAAGTCTTCAGTGTTAAACTTTCGCTGCTGGGTGTGATGTAAATTTAAAGAAATCTCGAGCTAAAATTAGGCAAAATTATATGTTCCAAACTGGAAATCCATTCGAAAGCTTCACTTGATTGGGCAATAAATGAAAACTTGTTGGTTCACTAGTTATCATCATTTATATGCCCATTGATTTGTTGGCTCGACGCAAAATTTGCATACGCATTTCAGTGAATGAACACATTGCCCTGAATGTGTGCCTGCATAATGCCATGCAAATGTATAACGTGAGCAATTGAATATTCGATGAAAGCAAACGAGTGTTTATAACTAACTATGAAGTTGGTAGCATGTGTGTGTGAATAGACGGCAAACACAACACACCAAACACCAAACACACAAATGGAGATTTAAAAGTGAAAATAGCAATAATAAAGTCGATTGTTTTGCCTTTTACTCTATACTTCATTTATTTAAGCAGCTTCGTTGCAAACGCATGCAAAATCAAGTTATTCACATGTGTTGCGATCATATACGATTATGCATGATCATATACGATCTTCATCCACATGTTTTGGTCTTGCTTGCACTCAAGCAAAGAAATGAATCAGTTGAGCCGCTTTAATG